AAATATTCAAATATAAATATAAAAAATATTTAATTTAAAACTATATGCAAATTTTGATAAAAAAAGTATGTATATTAAAGATTTGAATTGATTTAGTAATGAGTCAAATAATTAGAAAAGAAAGTATAGTTGAAAAAGATATTATGAAACTAAAAACTAAAAACAATAAATATATATAGTTTTCTTTTCTATTTCTATTTTCGATAACAAAAATTATATACATACTTATATTCATATATAATGCGGGATTTTTTGGTCAAATGAAAATATGTTGAGATAATATTCCATATAGATGAGTTTATTTCTCATTCTTATAAGCAACCTATTTTTCAAAATAACATATAAATAGGGATGGAAATAAATTCCCACAACCTATTTTTCATAATAACATATAAATATGAATCGAAAATATGGAAGTATCAACCAAAATTAGTGGTTGTTTTCTACCAAATTAATTATGTGGACAATGATGGTGAATTTTGCAATAAATCAGAGAATCATTTGTACCAAATTTTGATACGAAATTACAAGTATTTAGATATTGAATGTAAGTTATACAATATCCTTATTATTACTTGAAGAAGTGGGTTGTGTGCATTAATTAATTGTTGTAAACAACTCTTGATTAGGTTTAGTACATAACATGAGTTTGAATTGGTTGTGTTTGTTTGTAGTACGCAGTGAAGAACTTGCAATTTGCTATGACAATTGAGCCAGATAATTTGAGGATACAGCAGAAACTAACATGGGCTAAGAATCAGAACCAAGCTGGCCAACCCACAACTCCCTCCACCATTCAGGAAGAAATGGAAACCAACCCATTTATGAGGGTTCACCTACCTCAGATTCAGGTTTATCCCCACCCTACATGCATTTTCATTTCTCTGTTCCAAACTATGACAAATAATGCAAAAATCTTTGCAGGAGAAAGTAGGCTGCAAGTCTCCAATTGAAGCTTTGAGAGAGTTAAGGAAGCTCAAAGACAAGTGGATGATGGGGTAGTGGTGTTATTATTGTCTATAGTAATATGTGTTGGTGAAAACTGAAAAAGAGATACGAGATAGTTGTCGTGTTTGCACAATGTATGTTACGTTGGTTAGTCTAATGCTAAGATGTTCCATTTCATTCATGTTATATACTTGTGAACTAGAAAATTATTCTTTTCTCCTCTCTCTCTCCCTCACACCATATAACTTTCAACCGCTAAATTTTAATTTAAAATAAGCATACAAATACTAGGAAGATTCGTTTCTATCTGTGGTGTCAGAGAAAATAATGGCCTGCTTTTTACCGATGTGTTTTGTTGCAATCTTTTCGTTTTGGTTCGTGCGGTGATTGCGGCTCTCGCTTTTCTTAAGTTTGGCGTAAGCGTGGCGCTGACTTGTGGCAACTTCTCACGCTGTTACTTCGTGTTTTTCGAAATCATTAAGGAACACTTAAGAATCATATTAAATTAAGACTTAACAGACAAAAAACAGTACTTGATTGGTAATTTGATAAGTGTCATTGAAACCGTGGTTGAAGCTGTAAATATATTGATTTTCAATTGTTCTAGTTAGCGTTAATGCTTTTAGACTTGACATTAAACAGTGGTGGATCAGTCAATTATATGTGTTTTTCATGTTTAAGGATGTACGGATCGTGGTGTGTGTCTGATTAAAGTCGAATAGTTTCAAATTCTTCCTCCATCACACTCAATAAACAAAAATAAATATGACAGAAGCGACAATGTTTTCTTCGCTTAAAATGAAGATCTGGAATTAATATTTTTGGCACTTAAATTGTAAATTTTAATTGTTTTTAGTAATGAAAAAGGTAAAAACATTGTTTTAACTTAACCGGAATGTCTCCAAATTTTGGAAGTAACAAACAAATTCCCAATTAATCCTGTATATTTATATTTTTTAGTGTCATGTACACAGATAAAATTTTTACCCTTCTAGTAAAAAATTTAGCCATAATAATTTGTAAGAAATGGTGGAATTAAAAAAACGTTCAAATTTAATTACCAAAGAGAATTTGACTTGTTACCAAACTATAATTTGTTGGAACTGGAATCATTACCAATAATTTAGCGGAGTAAGAAGTTAATAACGATAAAAAGAGAAAAAAAGAGAAAAAAAGAAAAGAAAGAAAAAGAGGTGAGGGGATCCGTTGGAAGGAAAGGTGGAAGGAAAGAAAAGTATAACAATAATAATATCCAATGAAACGCGTTGGTTCATTTATCATGATTGGCTCATCGATGTCAACCTCTCACACACGCTCCGACACAGTCACACACAAAATTAATCGAAAGAGAAGGTTTCAGCTTCGTGACCTTGACTTTTCTCCTCTCTCCCTTTTCTGTTTGCGCTATGCATCATCATCGAATCGCATCGCACGATCCGCGTTCGCATTAAACCCTCTCTGGCCATGTTCATCTTCACTTTAATCTTCTTCTACGTATCTTGATTTTCTTCCTTCATCAAACTTCATCTCTTCGCTCGCGCCCGATAATCTAATCCAGACATCCTCTGCTACGCAAAACGAATGTTGTTGTGAATTCTTATAGGTCAGTACCGTACGGAAAAAGGAATATAAGATAGTTCAGGTTAGGGTTTCCAACAGATGGAATTGTCACCGTCGTCTTCGTCTTCCTCCTCGTTGTCGTCGTCTTCTGGAAGCGATGCCGGCGGTGGTGGCGCTCTCACGTGGTTCGGGATGAGTTTTCCGTTCCGTTCTCCGCTTTCTCTCGTGATGGATTACTGCACGCGCGAGGATTCCGCGGAGCCCGTGATTATCATTCCCCGGACGCGCCCGCGGTTTCAGGCGCCGGCTGAATCTGCTGCTTCTGTTTCGGCCTCTGACTCTGGCGATAATGTGTGCGGCGGCGCTGAGGAGGTGGCGATACGCATCATTGGGGCCGGCGAGCAAGAGAGCGGTTCGTCGCCGTCGTCATCGAGGAGCCGCGCTGGGGAACCGGGATGTGAGGAGGCGGCGGTGGTTGGGAGGAGCGGGATGCTGTCGTCGGAGGCTCGCCGGCGAATGGCTGAGGAGAGGGTGCCGTTGGTGTCTTTGGATGATGGGATTGGTGGCGGTAGGGATTCTTCTTCGTCTTCCTCTACCTACCAGAGGTATGATATTCAGCAGGTTGCGAAGTGGATTGAACAGATTCTTCCGTTCTCCCTCTTGCTGTTGATTGTTTTCATCCGCCAGCATTTGCAAGGTACTGGTTCTTTCTGGTGTTTGGTTTGTTCTCTCAAGTTGGTATTTTTGTTTAAATGCCAACTAGTAATCAAGCCATTGGATTATATTATTTCTGATTTGTTGTATGTGCTAGAGTTTGAGGATGTGGGTGAAGCAAGTTATCTTGCTCAGATATTAGAGAGACTGTATATGCTTGATTTGTTGGCGTGACTATGATATGATTTGTTTGGGGTATGCTCTTTTTGCATTGTGCTCTTGATATTGATAATTGTGTTTCAACATATCTTGGCTTTTCTGCGCCTTGTATTTGAAGGCCTGTCTTGGTTTTCTCGTGATGTGCTTGGTGGAATAATGGTTGGCCAGAGAAATGCTGCTTGCTGTTTTGAGGGACGGAAGCTGTGAAAATAGTATCAACTAATATACGTGCTACGTATTTGGTTTATATTAATTTTTGGTGCTTATTTCTTGATAAATGTTTACTATTAGTTCAAACTAGAATAAAACAAGCGTGGGCTGCTGTGTGGCTTTCAGCACACCGTGTACTAGCCTAGGAAAGAGTTAGAGTGAAATAAAAGGTTACTTGAAACAATTGCTGAGGATCATGTAGGAATGTGTTTGTACCTTTCTTTCGTTTACTGTTATATTACTCAGAGGTGCCCCTCCTTTGTAAGGAAATTGGAATTTCCTAGTCATTAGAGATGTAAAGATGAATTTGTAGAGTTAATTCAAGATTATGTTGATTCCTCTTGTTTATTTAATGGTTCTTAGTTGATTATATCAAAACTTTATTGTTGAAGAACACTGTGCTGCTTGCTTTTTTTATCTTCCCTGTGACCATGAGTCCGTGATTGATCCTTATCTTCTTCTTTGCAATCTCTTATCTCTTCTAATTAGGGAAAGAAGAATTATGGTTTGTTTTATTGAGTTGATTGGTTCTACTGTATTGAGTGGCAGTAAACTGCCTCTCACATACAGTTTCAGTTTATTTTGGTGTTTTACTTTTGAGTTGACTCTTTTGACATAACTATGTTATATTCATTTATGGGAACATGCAGGTTTCTTTGTCACAATTTGTATATCTGCTGTGATGTTCAAGTCAAATGAAATTGTTAAAAAGCAGACTGCCTTGAAGGTGATATACCCAGATTTTTGTAATTTCTTTTAAATTTCCATTTCCCAAATGAAATATTTACGTGTAAAATCCCATCCTCTTGTTGCAAGAGGAAAATAAAATTAGGAGTCTGAATTCATGTTCATTTCTGCAGGGAGATCGGAAAGTCTCTGTTCTTCTTGGTATCTCTTTTGCCTTTATGCTGCATGTTATATGCATTTACTGGTGGTATCGAAATGATGATCTTTTATACCCACTGGCCATGCTTCCCCCAAAGACAAGTCCACCTTTCTGGCATACAATATTCATCATTTTGGTTAACGGTACGTTTTAGTTCTATTTACATGTGGTTGTTACATTGTTTTATGTTCTATTTTCGCTAGATATTTTTATTTCTCTATTGGACAGAGACATGAAATGTATATTAATAGCACGTGTTTGGTAAAAATCTAAGATTTTTTTTTNCTATTTTTCATAATAACATATAAATATGAATCGAAAATATGGAAGTATCAACCAAAATTAGTGGTTGTTTTCTACCAAATTAATTATGTGGACAATGATGGTGAATTTTGCAATAAATCAGAGAATCATTTGTACCAAATTTTGATACGAAATTACAAGTATTTAGATATTGAATGTAAGTTATACAATATCCTTATTATTACTTGAAGAAGTGGGTTGTGTGCATTAATTAATTGTTGTAAACAACTCTTGATTAGGTTTAGTACATAACATGAGTTTGAATTGGTTGTGTTTGTTTGTAGTACGCAGTGAAGAACTTGCAATTTGCTATGACAATTGAGCCAGATAATTTGAGGATACAGCAGAAACTAACATGGGCTAAGAATCAGAACCAAGCTGGCCAACCCACAACTCCCTCCACCATTCAGGAAGAAATGGAAACCAACCCATTTATGAGGGTTCACCTACCTCAGATTCAGGTTTATCCCCACCCTACATGCATTTTCATTTCTCTGTTCCAAACTATGACAAATAATGCAAAAATCTTTGCAGGAGAAAGTAGGCTGCAAGTCTCCAATTGAAGCTTTGAGAGAGTTAAGGAAGCTCAAAGACAAGTGGATGATGGGGTAGTGGTGTTATTATTGTCTATAGTAATATGTGTTGGTGAAAACTGAAAAAGAGATACGAGATAGTTGTCGTGTTTGCACAATGTATGTTACGTTGGTTAGTCTAATGCTAAGATGTTCCATTTCATTCATGTTATATACTTGTGAACTAGAAAATTATTCTTTTCTCCTCTCTCTCTCCCTCACACCATATAACTTTCAACCGCTAAATTTTAATTTAAAATAAGCATACAAATACTAGGAAGATTCGTTTCTATCTGTGGTGTCAGAGAAAATAATGGCCTGCTTTTTACCGATGTGTTTTGTTGCAATCTTTTCGTTTTGGTTCGTGCGGTGATTGCGGCTCTCGCTTTTCTTAAGTTTGGCGTAAGCGTGGCGCTGACTTGTGGCAACTTCTCACGCTGTTACTTCGTGTTTTTCGAAATCATTAAGGAACACTTAAGAATCATATTAAATTAAGACTTAACAGACAAAAAACAGTACTTGATTGGTAATTTGATAAGTGTCATTGAAACCGTGGTTGAAGCTGTAAATATATTGATTTTCAATTGTTCTAGTTAGCGTTAATGCTTTTAGACTTGACATTAAACAGTGGTGGATCAGTCAATTATATGTGTTTTTCATGTTTAAGGATGTACGGATCGTGGTGTGTGTCTGATTAAAGTCGAATAGTTTCAAATTCTTCCTCCATCACACTCAATAAACAAAAATAAATATGACAGAAGCGACAATGTTTTCTTCGCTTAAAATGAAGATCTGGAATTAATATTTTTGGCACTTAAATTGTAAATTTTAATTGTTTTTAGTAATGAAAAAGGTAAAAACATTGTTTTAACTTAACCGGAATGTCTCCAAATTTTGGAAGTAACAAACAAATTCCCAATTAATCCTGTATATTTATATTTTTTAGTGTCATGTACACAGATAAAATTTTTACCCTTCTAGTAAAAAATTTAGCCATAATAATTTGTAAGAAATGGTGGAATTAAAAAAACGTTCAAATTTAATTACCAAAGAGAATTTGACTTGTTACCAAACTATAATTTGTTGGAACTGGAATCATTACCAATAATTTAGCGGAGTAAGAAGTTAATAACGATAAAAAGAGAAAAAAAGAGAAAAAAAGAAAAGAAAGAAAAAGAGGTGAGGGGATCCGTTGGAAGGAAAGGTGGAAGGAAAGAAAAGTATAACAATAATAATATCCAATGAAACGCGTTGGTTCATTTATCATGATTGGCTCATCGATGTCAACCTCTCACACACGCTCCGACACAGTCACACACAAAATTAATCGAAAGAGAAGGTTTCAGCTTCGTGACCTTGACTTTTCTCCTCTCTCCCTTTTCTGTTTGCGCTATGCATCATCATCGAATCGCATCGCACGATCCGCGTTCGCATTAAACCCTCTCTGGCCATGTTCATCTTCACTTTAATCTTCTTCTACGTATCTTGATTTTCTTCCTTCATCAAACTTCATCTCTTCGCTCGCGCCCGATAATCTAATCCAGACATCCTCTGCTACGCAAAACGAATGTTGTTGTGAATTCTTATAGGTCAGTACCGTACGGAAAAAGGAATATAAGGTAGTTCAGGTTAGGGTTTCCAACAGATGGAATTGTCACCGTCGTCTTCGTCTTCCTCCTCGTTGTCGTCGTCTTCTGGAAGCGATGCCGGCGGTGGTGGCGCTCTCACGTGGTTCGGGATGAGTTTTCCGTTCCGTTCTCCGCTTTCTCTCGTGATGGATTACTGCACGCGCGAGGATTCCGCGGAGCCCGTGATTATCATTCCCCGGACGCGCCCGCGGTTTCAGGCGCCGGCTGAATCTGCTGCTTCTGTTTCGGCCTCTGACTCTGGCGATAATGTGTGCGGCGGCGCTGAGGAGGTGGCGATACGCATCATTGGGGCCGGCGAGCAAGAGAGCGGTTCGTCGCCGTCGTCATCGAGGAGCCGCGCTGGGGAACCGGGATGTGAGGAGGCGGCGGTGGTTGGGAGGAGCGGGATGCTGTCGTCGGAGGCTCGCCGGCGAATGGCTGAGGAGAGGGTGCCGTTGGTGTCTTTGGATGATGGGATTGGTGGCGGTAGGGATTCTTCTTCGTCTTCCTCTACCTACCAGAGGTATGATATTCAGCAGGTTGCGAAGTGGATTGAACAGATTCTTCCGTTCTCCCTCTTGCTGTTGATTGTTTTCATCCGCCAGCATTTGCAAGGTACTGGTTCTTTCTGGTGTTTGGTTTGGTCTCTCAAGTTGGTATTTTTGTTTAAATGCCAACTAGTAATCAAGCCATTGGATTATATTATTTCTGATTTGTTGTATGTGCTAGAGTTTGAGGATGTGGGTGAAGCAAGTTATCTTGCTCAGATATTAGAGAGACTGTATATGCTTGATTTGTTGGCGTGACTATGATATGATTTGTTTGGGGTATGCTCTTTTTGCATTGTGCTCTTGATATTGATAATTGTGTTTCAACATATCGTGGCTTTTCTGCGCCTTGTATTTGAAGGCCTGTCTTGGTTTTCTCGTGATGTGCTTGGTGGAATAATGGTTGGCCAGAGAAATGCTGCTTGCTGTTTTGAGGGACGGAAGCTGTGAAAATAGTATCAACTAATATACGTGCTACGTATTTGGTTTATATTAATTTTTGGTGCTTATTTCTTGATAAATGTTTACTATTAGTTCAAACTAGAATAAAACAAGCGTGGGCTGCTGTGTGGCTTTCAGCACACCGTGTACTAGCCTAGGAAAGAGTTAGAGTGAAATAAAAGGTTACTTGAAACAATTGCTGAGGATCATGTAGGAATGTGTTTGTACCTTTCTTTCGTTTACTGTTATATTACTCAGAGGTGCCCCTCCTTTGTAAGGAAATTGGAATTTCCTAGTCATTAGAGATGTAAAGATGAATTTGTAGAGTTAATTCAAGATTATGTTGATTCCTCTTGTTTATTTAATGGTTCTTAGTTGATTATATCAAAACTTTATTGTTGAAGAACACTGTGCTGCTTGCTTTTTTTATCTTCCCTGTGACCATGAGTCCGTGATTGATCCTTATCTTCTTCTTTGCAATCTCTTATCTCTTCTAATTAGGGAAAGAAGAATTATGGTTTGTTTTATTGAGTTGATTGGTTCTACTGTATTGAGTGGCAGTAAACTGCCTCTCACATACAGTTTCAGTTTATTTTGGTGTTTTACTTTTGAGTTGACTCTTTTGACATAACTATGTTATATTCATTTATGGGAACATGCAGGTTTCTTTGTCACAATTTGTATATCTGCTGTGATGTTCAAGTCAAATGAAATTGTTAAAAAGCAGACTGCCTTGAAGGTGATATACCCAGATTTTTGTAATTTCTTTTAAATTTCCATTTCCCAAATGAAATATTTACGTGTAAAATCCCATCCTCTTGTTGCAAGAGGAAAATAAAATTAGGAGTCTGAATTCATGTTCATTTCTGCAGGGAGATCGGAAAGTCTCTGTTCTTCTTGGTATCTCTTTTGCCTTTATGCTGCATGTTATATGCATTTACTGGTGGTATCGAAATGATGATCTTTTATACCCACTGGCCATGCTTCCCCCAAAGACAAGTCCACCTTTCTGGCATACAATATTCATCATTTTGGTTAACGGTACGTTTTAGTTCTATTTACATGTGGTTGTTACATTGTTTTATGTTCTATTTTCGCTAGATATTTTTATTTCTCTATTGGACAGAGACATGAAATGTATATTAATAGCACGTGTTTGGTAAAAATCTAAGATTTTTTTTTATTGTTGATGTTTGATTAATGTGTAGGAGACTTGGAAGTTTTAATACAACAGCAGGGTTATTTACTTGATTAATAATGATGAAATTGAAAACTTCCTTTTCTCTTTGTTTCTATGCTTCATAACTCATTTCTATTTTGAAATATACTGTTTTTGTTTTTCAAAATATATCTTGATTGTGGAAGGACGGAAGTACAATAAAAGGGTTTTTCGCATTTAATCACTGGCTCTGGGCCAAAATTGAATAAAACTGGTTTCAAGATAAATTTTACCGCCAATGGGGGTTTCCTACCTGGTCAACTTTTTCCTTGGAAACCGCATGAATTGAGTTTGAATCATAGGGTCCCTTGTTTGTGGGTGATCTAATCTTATTGAAAATCTTTGTTGAGGTTGGTGGTTTTGCACTTCCCCTTGGCCTTAGAATGGGGAGAGCCTTCATCACCCTAAACTTTTTTATCAACAAAAAAAGATGACCGTCCTTTTCTAGTTTTTCCTCTTTGGCATAGAGACAAAGTCTCCCTTTTTGTGCTTATGTACAGTCATTGCTTGATCATATCAGTACATTCCTCGGGAAGGAGGGGGTGGGGGCAGTGTTAATCCAATATGCCATAGTGAAGACAATTTTGATCTCCGAATATTTATACCCACTCATTTCAGGCCTCTTTAATGGGTGTTGTGGAAGAGCTTCTATTCAGATTCTTTGAGCTTATTTCATCACATATAAGTAATTAATCTTAGAAAACTTGCTTAAAATCCTTCTATAAGCTCCACTTGGCTTATTTCAACGAGCTTTCTTGGTGAAAGTTATAAAAGTAAGCTTATTGAATTTAGTGTTTGTGAATATGCTCTCGTGTTAGATAGAATATGTTTAACTAAACACTTTAGACAACTTACCTTTAGACTAATTGGGCGTAACGTCAGTATTGTAGATGGATGATGCATATCTCTGATTTTAAGCTATATCTTTGCATTAGTGTGCCGTGCAGGCCGACCTTGGTGCAACCTAATGAGTTACTTACAATATTAAACATGTTCTTATTTTTTTAATCGTTAGCCAAGATTCATGGTCTTCAAGTATTTTTCCATTTGAAGTATTTTCTATGTCCTATTATTTTTTTTTTCTCTCTCAAATTTTGCTGTTTTCATAATACTTGACTGGGTTTCTTTCATTGGATGTTATTACGGAGAAAAACAATNCATTTATGAGGGTTCACCTACCTCAGATTCAGGTTTATCCCCACCCTACATGCATTTTCATTTCTCTGTTCCAAACTATGACAAATAATGCAAAAATCTTTGCAGGAGAAAGTAGGCTGCAAGTCTCCAATTGAAGCTTTGAGAGAGTTAAGGAAGCTCAAAGACAAGTGGATGATGGGGTAGTGGTGTTATTATTGTCTATAGTAATATGTGTTGGTGAAAACTGAAAAAGAGATACGAGATAGTTGTCGTGTTTGCACAATGTATGTTACGTTGGTTAGTCTAATGCTAAGATGTTCCATTTCATTCATGTTATATACTTGTGAACTAGAAAATTATTCTTTTCTCCTCTCTCTCTCCCTCACACCATATAACTTTCAACCGCTAAATTTTAATTTAAAATAAGCATACAAATACTAGGAAGATTCGTTTCTATCTGTGGTGTCAGAGAAAATAATGGCCTGCTTTTTACCGATGTGTTTTGTTGCAATCTTTTCGTTTTGGTTCGTGCGGTGATTGCGGCTCTCGCTTTTCTTAAGTTTGGCGTAAGCGTGGCGCTGACTTGTGGCAACTTCTCACGCTGTTACTTCGTGTTTTTCGAAATCATTAAGGAACACTTAAGAATCATATTAAATTAAGACTTAACAGACAAAAAACAGTACTTGATTGGTAATTTGATAAGTGTCATTGAAACCGTGGTTGAAGCTGTAAATATATTGATTTTCAATTGTTCTAGTTAGCGTTAATGCTTTTAGACTTGACATTAAACAGTGGTGGATCAGTCAATTATATGTGTTTTTCATGTTTAAGGATGTACGGATCGTGGTGTGTGTCTGATTAAAGTCGAATAGTTTCAAATTCTTCCTCCATCACACTCAATAAACAAAAATAAATATGACAGAAGCGACAATGTTTTCTTCGCTTAAAATGAAGATCTGGAATTAATATTTTTGGCACTTAAATTGTAAATTTTAATTGTTTTTAGTAATGAAAAAGGTAAAAACATTGTTTTAACTTAACCGGAATGTCTCCAAATTTTGGAAGTAACAAACAAATTCCCAATTAATCCTGTATATTTATATTTTTTAGTGTCATGTACACAGATAAAATTTTTACCCTTCTAGTAAAAAATTTAGCCATAATAATTTGTAAGAAATGGTGGAATTAAAAAAACGTTCAAATTTAATTACCAAAGAGAATTTGACTTGTTACCAAACTATAATTTGTTGGAACTGGAATCATTACCAATAATTTAGCGGAGTAAGAAGTTAATAACGATAAAAAGAGAAAAAAAGAGAAAAAAAGAAAAGAAAGAAAAAGAGGTGAGGGGATCCGTTGGAAGGAAAGGTGGAAGGAAAGAAAAGTATAACAATAATAATATCCAATGAAACGCGTTGGTTCATTTATCATGATTGGCTCATCGATGTCAACCTCTCACACACGCTCCGACACAGTCACACACAAAATTAATCGAAAGAGAAGGTTTCAGCTTCGTGACCTTGACTTTTCTCCTCTCTCCCTTTTCTGTTTGCGCTATGCATCATCATCGAATCGCATCGCACGATCCGCGTTCGCATTAAACCCTCTCTGGCCATGTTCATCTTCACTTTAATCTTCTTCTACGTATCTTGATTTTCTTCCTTCATCAAACTTCATCTCTTCGCTCGCGCCCGATAATCTAATCCAGACATCCTCTGCTACGCAAAACGAATGTTGTTGTGAATTCTTATAGGTCAGTACCGTACGGAAAAAGGAATATAAGGTAGTTCAGGTTAGGGTTTCCAACAGATGGAATTGTCACCGTCGTCTTCGTCTTCCTCCTCGTTGTCGTCGTCTTCTGGAAGCGATGCCGGCGGTGGTGGCGCTCTCACGTGGTTCGGGATGAGTTTTCCGTTCCGTTCTCCGCTTTCTCTCGTGATGGATTACTGCACGCGCGAGGATTCCGCGGAGCCCGTGATTATCATTCCCCGGACGCGCCCGCGGTTTCAGGCGCCGGCTGAATCTGCTGCTTCTGTTTCGGCCTCTGACTCTGGCGATAATGTGTGCGGCGGCGCTGAGGAGGTGGCGATACGCATCATTGGGGCCGGCGAGCAAGAGAGCGGTTCGTCGCCGTCGTCATCGAGGAGCCGCGCTGGGGAACCGGGATGTGAGGAGGCGGCGGTGGTTGGGAGGAGCGGGATGCTGTCGTCGGAGGCTCGCCGGCGAATGGCTGAGGAGAGGGTGCCGTTGGTGTCTTTGGATGATGGGATTGGTGGCGGTAGGGATTCTTCTTCGTCTTCCTCTACCTACCAGAGGTATGATATTCAGCAGGTTGCGAAGTGGATTGAACAGATTCTTCCGTTCTCCCTCTTGCTGTTGATTGTTTTCATCCGCCAGCATTTGCAAGGTACTGGTTCTTTCTGGTGTTTGGTTTGTTCTCTCAAGTTGGTATTTTTGTTTAAATGCCAACTAGTAATCAAGCCATTGGATTATATTATTTCTGATTTGTTGTATGTGCTAGAGTTTGAGGATGTGGGTGAAGCAAGTTATCTTGCTCAGATATTAGAGAGACTGTATATGCTTGATTTGTTGGCGTGACTATGATATGATTTGTTTGGGGTATGCTCTTTTTGCATTGTGCTCTTGATATTGATAATTGTGTTTCAACATATCGTGGCTTTTCTGCGCCTTGTATTTGAAGGCCTGTCTTGGTTTTCTCGTGATGTGCTTGGTGGAATAATGGTTGGCCAGAGAAATGCTGCTTGCTGTTTTGAGGGACGGAAGCTGTGAAAATAGTATCAACTAATATACGTGCTACGTATTTGGTTTATATTAATTTTTGGTGCTTATTTCTTGATAAATGTTTACTATTAGTTCAAACTAGAATAAAACAAGCGTGGGCTGCTGTGTGGCTTTCAGCACACCGTGTACTAGCCTAGGAAAGAGTTAGAGTGAAATAAAAGGTTACTTGAAACAATTGCTGAGGATCATGTAGGAATGTGTTTGTACCTTTCTTTCGTTTACTGTTATATTACTCAGAGGTGCCCCTCCTTTGTAAGGAAATTGGAATTTCCTAGTCATTAGAGATGTAAAGATGAATTTGTAGAGTTAATTCAAGATTATGTTGATTCCTCTTGTTTATTTAATGGTTCTTAGTTGATTATATCAAAACTTTATTGTTGAAGAACACTGTGCTGCTTGCTTTTTTTATCTTCCCTGTGACCATGAGTCCGTGATTGATCCTTATCTTCTTCTTTGCAATCTCTTATCTCTTCTAATTAGGGAAAGAAGAATTATGGTTTGTTTTATTGAGTTGATTGGTTCTACTGTATTGAGTGGCAGTAAACTGCCTCTCACATACAGTTTCAGTTTATTTTGGTGTTTTACTTTTGAGTTGACTCTTTTGACATAACTATGTTATATTCATTTATGGGAACATGCAGGTTTCTTTGTCACAATTTGTATATCTGCTGTGATGTTCAAGTCAAATGAAATTGTTAAAAAGCAGACTGCCTTGAAGGTGATATACCCAGATTTTTGTAATTTCTTTTAAATTTCCATTTCCCAAATGAAATATTTACGTGTAAAATCCCATCCTCTTGTTGCAAGAGGAAAATAAAATTAGGAGTCTGAATTCATGTTCATTTCTGCAGGGAGATCGGAAAGTCTCTGTTCTTCTTGGTATCTCTTTTGCCTTTATGCTGCATGTTATATGCATTTACTGGT